ATGAACAGAAACTCCGGTATGTTCTCCACATTGCAGTCATTCATATACACCGTTCCCACGATTATCATCGACAATGGTATGACAATCGTGAAGCCAATGATTACCGTACAGCCAACTGGGGGCAGTGAACAGACAAGTAATTAACACATGTTTGGGGGTAGGGGTCACTCACGAGTTCCGATCAGAATAATGAATAGCTTGCGTACGAAATCCCATGGAGTGGCGGCTGACTTGCGGGCGTCCCTTACCTGTCCAAACAGGGACTGGTATGATGGGGGAGGGGCTGTAAGGGGTAGACATATGCTGTTAATTTGAGAGAGAGAGCGAGAGAGAGAGAGAGCGAGAGAGAGAGAGCGAGAGAGAGAGCGAGAGAGAGAGAGAGGGGTCTGGTCTTAAAGGCCATACCCTCTGGATTAATGACATCATCATAAGAAGGCGGTGGACCAGCCGTACGGGACATATAGAGGGGAACTGTTCCCGGAATAGACGAATAGGACGGCGGCGGCACAGTTGGTAAGCCTGGCGACGACTGCGGCGGTGACACCGACTGTCCATCGATGGACACGCGTATCATCGGCGGTAAAGTCAATGGTGTGGTTGTCTGCGGCGATATCTCAGCGGCGGTGCTGTCAATGGCCACCAAACGGGGAGCAGTCGACTGTCAATGAGTGGTATAAACGGGATATCAATACAAACAGTGATAATACTGGCCATCATTACCTGATTGTTATCATTGGTTACCACTGTCTGCGACATAACTACTTGTGGCGACCGGTAGTGCTAAATGGGATCAAGTTTTCGGTGATATTGTGTCCACTTTTGCGTCCGTTTATCGATGTCTTTGTATTTCGTGACACTATTTCTGTTGACACACAAAGTGTTTGTATTAATGAATGCTTTCGTAAGACTTATCGTATAATAAAAGATTTATTTATTTATATGTTTTGTGTATGAATGAGTCGATTGCATAACAAATGCTATTTAATTGCATTTCAATTGAAAACACAATTAAATGGCAATCAGTTTAGTGTTGTTTACTGTTAGACGCATACGATATACACAAATGATTTTTGAGTACAGTTTGTAGACCTTA